GTCTTAAAATGATGTGTTTAGAAGTTTTTGTTTCTATTCTAATACAATGCACGAGAAAAAGCACCCCCTTTTTTCCTTTGCTGGATGAAGTCATGTCTTCATGTATTGTCTGAAATTGCTGCAGTCATCTTGAAACCCCAAATGGAGCCATCATCAACGTGCTGAGGATAGCAGGGCAGAAAGATGGACTCATTGGTGGATCTGGATCTGTGATGGCCTTATCGAGGCACTGAGCCAACCTTGGACCACCTGACCTTTAGACATCTTCATATGTGTGATAATGGCTGTTGTTACTGTAAGCCATTTGGTTTGGGTTGTTTTCTGCCTACCAGCTAAAATCATCTAATTGATGTCAATGCTTCTGGTGAAGGTAGTGATTAATAGTGCTAGCTGATGTGCTGATAAAAACTTGAGTCAGTACCTAGCCAAGTCATGGATCCAGTGTAAAGTATTCAAATAGATCAACAGAGGTTGAGGTCTGTCCGGGTGGGGCTTTTTCTGTAGCCACACATAGTGGGAAACACCTCATACCTCATAGGGTAACACTATGGTTTTGCTTTACTCTCACAGGACTGTTTGTTAGATCTGTGTTCCCAGGAACTACAAGACAGTTGCTAAAAGTATAAAAGACCTAATAATTTGTCTCTACCTTAGGTCTTGGCATATCTGATCTGATCTGGCATATATACACTGATCTGTACCATTCTTGAGTGTAATGGCTTTAGGACCTAATGATTTGAACTCATTCATTTTTCCAAGAGGGTGTCAATTTGAGAACTAGGCAGATCCATCTACTCTAAAAATGACCCTCAAGTAACTTGCTTGAAGAAATTAGATCCCAAAGATTCTTGGTGGGCAATTTCAGTTTTTATCAGTATGTTCATATTCAAGTGCAAATAAAAGAAGCCAAAAGAAAAGAAAAAGAATTGTGGCAAGTATCTTCTGGACTGACAGGACAACTATGGATTGAGGATCTGTTCTATTAAAAAAGGGCTGTCTTGAAGGTAAATCTTCAAAGACTCCAGCCTTTGAGGAACTAAAGCTACCCCTGATGGACAGTGGAAGGAATCACATGTGGCATTCCTTGAATAAAAATTTATTGACTTAAAAAAAATAGACCAACGGATGCCTGGTGATGCTGTTCCTTGTCATCGTAAGTGTCCTTCCAGGCCATTATGATCATCTCTGAATGATACAGGACTCCAGTCCAACTCAGGATCCACACATCCTGCTTATAACAAAGCCCTAACGCCTGCTGAAGGTGAACACATTTGTCTGTGTTCTTTAAACCACTGCACAGAAAAATTTCAGCAGGAAACTCTTTGGACCATAGTTCTTTGTTTCTCATTTTAAAAAATAATTAATACATTCATATAGTTCACAAGCTAAATAACCTAAAAAGCATGCAATTGAAAGATTCACTCTGTCAGTGGTACATACTTGTAGTTCCAGCTACTCAGGAGGCTGAGGCAGGAGGATTGCTTGAAGACAGATGTTTGAGACCAGCCTGGGCAACACAGATCCCATCTCAAAAGAAAAAAAAAAAGACTAACTCTCACCTTATCCCCCATTCGCTCCAGTTTCCACTTCAATAAGTAATTGCATTTCATTGTTGTGTGTACATGTGTATCCTTCTGCAAATAAAACCAGAAATAATACATATTCTGGTAGCATAATATAGTTTTGTATATTTTCTTCTTATCCATTACAATCTATCTCAGAGATATTTTCATATTAGTCTCATAGCGATATATAGAACCAGTTTTCCCATAGGGTATATTGTTAAACTTTTGGATTTTTATCGGTGTGACAGTTGAAAATGGTATTTCAGTGTAGTTTAAATCTACATTTCTCTTTATCCTTAATAAACTGCCTATCTCTTTGTATTGGTAAGTGGCCATTTGTATTCCTTTCCTGAGATCTGTTTATATTCTTTCACCATTTTTCTATTGGGTTATTGGTATTTTACTTCTTGATTTCTAGGAGCTCTTTAAATATTAGGGAGTCTATTCCTATGCCCATTATCTGAGGTGCACATACTGTCCAGTTTGTCATTTGCCTTTTGACTTTGCTTATACCGTGTTTCCCCGAAAATAAGACAGGGTCTTATACTTATTTTTCCTCAAGAAGACAACCTAGGCCGAGCACGGTGGCTCACGCCTGTAATCCTAGCACTCTGGGAGGCTGAGGTGGGCGGATTGCTCGAGGTCAGGAGTTTGAAACCAGCCTGAGCAAGAGCAAGATACCAACTCTACTAAAAATAGAAAGAAATTAATTGGCCAACTAAAAAAAAAAAAAATATATATATATATATATATATATATATATATAAGTCAATATCAGGTGTTTTTTTGTTTTTTTTGTTTTTTTTTTTTGAGACAGGGTCTTACTCTGTAACCCCAGCTAGAGTGGTAGTGGTGTCATCATAGTGCTGCTGTCCAACCAGGTTTATATGCTCACTGCCCAAGAGGAAGCCAATACTCTGAGAGAGCAGGGTTTACAATGCAGAGAAAGAATTTATTCCACATAGCGCTAGGTGGGGAGAGAGGAGACATTTCTCAAATCCACCTTCCCAAGAATTTGGGAGACAGGATTTTTAAGGATAGTTTGGCAGGGGTATAGAAATCATCTTCTTGTGTTGCTTCAGTCCCTGGGGTCACAATTCCAGTTGAGTTGGTTTCTTGGTATGGGCCACTGGTCCATTGGGTGGGTCAACTAATCCACTGGAATGTGGGGCCTGGAAGATAGCTTAAAAACTGCCTTTAGGTTTCAAAAAGTTGATGTTATCTACAGAGAAAGTTAACAATCTTTATGGACACCAGCTATGGGGAGAAAGTTAAGAATCTTTATGGACACCAGCTGTGTGGCTCTGGAGTGGAATTATAGAGAAGCAAACAGGGGCACAGTGACTAGTTATTATTATTTTCAGATAGGTCCTTACCACAGTTCTTGCCCTGGACCCCGTTATTGACTTATTTGTGTGAAGGGTGGTTTCAGTAGCTCACTGCAACCTCAAACTCCTGGGCTCAAGCGATGTTCCTGCCTCAGCCTTGTAAGTAGCTGAGTCTACGGGTGTGTCCCACTGCACCCGGCTAATTTTTCTATTTTTAGTAGAGATGGGGTCTCGCTCTTGCTCAGACTGGTCTTGAACTCCTGACCTCAAGTGACCCTCTATAAAACCCAAGGCTCTCCTCTTTTCTCTTGTGAACACCTTTTCGGCCTCTACCCATCTCACCCAGATGCTCAAAATAAATAGCCTTTTGCTACACATGAGGCTTCCTGTTTCTCTCTCTTGGCTCCAGACCTAACATGCCCAAGGGATCTTCCTGCCTTAGCCTCCCAAGTAGCTGGGACTACAGGTACATGCCGCCATGCTCAGCTAATTTTTAAAAGTGTTTCTAGAGACAGGGTCTTGAACTTCTGGCCTCACACAATCCTCTCACTTTAGCCAGGATTACAGATGTGAGCTACTGTGTTCAGCTGCTTGACAAGGCTTTAAAGGAGCCCACAGACAAGTGGTATCTGGCACCTAGCAGACCACACCTACCCCTGCAGGGAAGAACAGGTCCTCAGCCACACACTAGCACTCACAGGAGACTTAATTCCCCTTTGGGACCTAAGAGGTTTTAGAAAGATGAAGCACTGTGCAGTGGCACTCCAGAGAAGCCCATGCAGATCCTTAAAAGAAGCAAAAAAGGGAGCCAATAATATTCATTTTTCCTGAGAAGGATATGATAGCCAGGCTACACCACCAGGACCCCAGGAGACATCTGATCTAGATCTGGAGGTGACAGGGTGTACCACCGCCACAGGGGTAACATGAGTGCCTGCTGAATACATTTGCTAACACAAAGATTAGGCATTGAGCAGGGAGCTGCTCTGGCTAAGGGGCCCCTGTGCCCTAGGATGGGCATGGCCGAGCTGCAGGCTGAATGGCATTTCTGAAGCCCTTACTGGAAAAGAGCAGGTCCCACTTTTGTCGAAAGTCAGAACAGGCTCACAAAATACAACAGGGGTGATAAAACATATCATCTGAAGGGAAGTAGAGGAAATTTCTCTCCATTTCTGCCCAAGCTGCTGCCCCTGGGCAGAACCAAAAGATTGGTACAATCTAGTATTTATACATTAGGGAAATCTTAAGAGAATATTCTAGCTCTAAGTGTAAATAAAAATAGATTTTAAAATAAGCAGTTCATGTTCTGCTTTATTTAGACTCTGCTTTATTTAGACACAGACTTAAATGCTGGGAGCTATGGAGGTGTGTACTTAAGTGGGTTAAGAAAATTATATACTATGAGGGATTGTTTGGGGGTAGGGGAGGATATACTGGGTTTATAATGCATAATGTTTGCTACCAGCCTGCTAGAGGAAGAATGCTGACATATCATGGCCCATCAAGGCCTTAGCTTGCAAATTGCATAGCTTTCCTGTTAGTTTTCTGGGCAACCCTTACTGACATATTTATAATCTGGCTAAAGAATCAGGTTTTGCAATGCTGTTATTAAATACACACATGTGCAGTCGTGGCCAAAGTAACAGCAAGGTGCCTCTGGAGTTGTATGTTCTCAAGCTCAGTTGCCACTGCAGCTTAGGAGAGTCATGAAGATTTTAGGAAAGATGCCAATGTATCCAAGCACATTCACAGGAGAGAGGAAAAAAAAAAACAAAACCCAGCCAGGTAGTGTTCGTAAAGATTGGCCTGACTCTAGCTGTCCTCATGGCAGCCAGTCATACCAAAGACACTCGGGGTCATTGGCTCTGGTTTGTTTCTGTAACCATGTCAAGATGCTACAGACTTTCAGCCAAGCAAGGCTGCAGGATCTGCAAATTTTATTGCAGCCCCCAGTTTCCCCATTTTAAAGGCTAGAATAGTCAGTGTAGTTCTGGTCAGGAAGCAGGTCAGATGCCAAAAGAACCTTACCTGGCCTGTTGTATCAGCCAAGGTCCAATTGGAAACATAAAACCACACCAGTTATTTTAAACAAAGGGAATTTATTATAAGGACTGCAAAGGCAAAAGGGAAATGCCACGGAACACAGGGGTGGCAGGGGAAGGGAGCAGTTACAGTCCCCAGAGGGATGCAGGTTAACAAAAGGAAAGGGGGGGGGTATTGGAACCTAGGAGCTTGGAGCAGGAGCCCTGCGGAGGTGCAACTCAGACTTCAGGGGAAGGAGTGCTGTACAATTACTGCTGGCATCTTTGAGAGGCACAGTAAAAGCTGGTCCTGAGAGTGGGAAAAAGCTGGAAACTTGAGACAAGTGAAGCTGCTAGTTAAAGAGCTGCTGCCACCACAATGCTCAGGCACAAGGAGTAAGAAGCAAGTCCCCTTTCCCTCCTATTTTTCAGGCTTCCTTTAGCTCCCTCAGTTGGTGGAGCTGGCATGGCAGAAGGGTGGCTTGCAGAATCCCAGGCCCAGCAGCCGTGGGAAATGAATACTGGGTTCCAGTTTGGGGGTATTACAAATAATGCTGCTATGTGCATTCTCGCACATAGCTTTTGATGACTTGTGCACTCATTTTGGGGGGTATAAACCTAACAGTGTACTTAGTAGATTTAATTGATATGGATATTAACCGTTCTGGTGAATGTGCTACAGTATCTCGAGATTTCAACTTGCATTTTTCTAATTCCTAACAAAGTTGAGCATCTTTGGCCATTGGGGTATCCTTTTTAGAAAGGTGCCTAAGTAAGTTTCTAGTCCATTTGCTGCAGGATTATTATTGCTCTTTGGGGATTTTTAATATATTCTTGATATAAGCCCTTTTGATTATATGTATTTCAAATAATATCTTCTCTCAGTCTGTTAATGTGTTTTTTTCACCCTCTCAATGGTATCTCGTGATGAACAGATGTTCCTAATTCTATGTGGTACACTTTATCACTCTTGGCTGGTCCGAGTGCCATGATGTTTACAACTAATTGATCACATCCAGTTACAGATTCCTTTGTTCCTTCTACACTCCCACTGCTCTACTTGACTAGCCTCTAATAAAAAATTATTAAAAAATTTTATCACTCTTTAGGGTTAGTGCTTTTTGTGTCTTCTCTAAAAAACATCTCTTTATCCCAGGATCATGAAGATATTCTCCTATATTATATTCTTTTTTGTTTTTTGTTTTATTTGGCTGGTCAAGTGGTCTTTTTTGTTTTAATTTTTTATTTTTTGTATAGCCAGTCAAGTTTTGAAAAAGCTGTCTTAAATTCCTGAGGCAGACTTTGAAACTAAGTCAGGATTTTATGATCAACCAGTCACTATCATTTAAGGTAAGAAGAGAGGCTCAGGACTTTTATTTATACCAATGGTATATGGTCTTGCATAAGTCTGGTCTGTTTTGTTTGTTCAGCAACTTCCTAGTTTTTTGTGGACAGGGATGGGTCAAGTCATCTCATCACGTACCAGGTCTCTGACGTAGAAATTTCAGGTATGAGGCGGCTGCACAGAGTTCATACCAGGTAAGGATGTACTGCATGTGCACATTCCTCACTGTGACTCTAGTCTGCCCTCCAATAGGTCCTCCAGGGACTGTGCTCTGGAAGTTGTTATCGATGAAAATGGGGTCTGTGCCTGTGATCTTGGCCATGGCCTCCAGGTCTCAGTAATGCCAAGTCGTTCCTTTCCAGATTGTTCTTGGGGACAAAGGGCTTCCTGGTTTCTGTCAGCCTCACCATCCCAACGAGGTCCATTTCTCCCTCAATCTGGCCTTTCCTTCGGGTGTCAGGATTCACTGTCTTCCCGGGGACAAACCCTCTATTGACCAGGATTGTGGTTCCAGGTGAGTGCAGTGGAAGGGAGTGCTGACGTAGGCCCCGCTCTCAGCTGAGGAGGAGATCCGGCCGGCCTCCTGGGCCTCCCAGGCAGGGTCTGCCATGGTCCGGGGCATCATGTAGAGCTCCTTGGAGTGGTCAAAATGCTCTCTGACCTTCACCGTCCTGTACTCCAGTGTTTTCAGTTCCACCAGGTCTGCTGGCAGAGGGACAGGCTCAGCCAGAACTCTAGACTCTAACTCTGCAGTCAGTTTCAACTTCCACTTCCGACGCTGGACCTGCCATGTCCCCAAGCCAAAGGCAGTCACAGGGGTGAGAAGCAGGAACCACTGGAGAAAGGAATCCTCTTCTGCTTTTGTGGTATGTGCTTCTGCTGCAAAACTGCTGCATCTGCGTGGCTTCCAGGCCTCTCCTGGAGAAGCGTCACAACACTGGCATGGGGTCAGAAGCCCTGGGTGCGGGGGGGGACCCCCACTCTTCCAGGCAGCGTGGGCCAGGGCCAGGCCCGCGCACACTGCCTACAGCCCCAGCAGCTGTGCTGCCAATGCCGCCCTATATTCTTCTTTTTATATTTCCTGTCTTTTTTTCTCTGTTCTCAACTCTGAGTAATTTCTTCAGATCTATCTTCTGATTTGCTACATCTATTTCTGGCAGTTTCTAATTAAAATTTTATATTTTTAATTTCTGGAAATTCTATTTTTTCACCAGTTCTGCCTGTCATTTTTGACAGCCTCTTATCCCTGCATTGGGTTTTCAAAATCCTCTTTATTTCTTTAAGCATATTAAATATCTTTCATGTATATTCTATACCTAAAAATTACAATATGTGCAGTACTTGTGTGATTCTATAATGCGATGTTTCCATTATTGCTTGTTTATGGTGGCATGTTTCCTTCTGATTTTTATAATTGTTTTCTGTAAGCTCAGGTTTGTTGGAATTGTATCCATGGGAATCCTTCAAAGCCTGGGTTGAAAATGTGTTTCTCCAGGGATACTGCCTTTCAAAGAGAGCGACCCAGTCTCTTTCCCAGCTCCTCATCATAACAGGGGCTCATACGTAACAGGAACCCCATGACATTCTGTTAATTTCTCTTGTAGTCACCAAAATACAGCTTAGAAGGTTTCCATAACTTTTCAGTGACATCATTTTCCCCCCATGTAGAGATTCACCTTTTCAAAGGCTCAAGCAAATATTCATTTTACAGTAAAGTTGAGGGGCTTGTATGTTTGAGTCAATGGCGTATTTTCGTGATGAGCTTCCAAAAGCAAAATAGGTCTCTCCCGGTCTGCCCTTAAGGCCAGGAACATAACGGTGGCGGCACGGTGTTGCTGATGGGCACCTGGTGACACTGGCCGAAAGGGAATCTCACTTCCCTGGCCCTGGTGGAGAGTCACAGCTGTGTCTGCAAGACTCGTTAAAGCCAGTCTTGGTGTGTAAAGGAAGAGGAGCTTTGCTGACTGGCCCACCCCGCATCTGACTGCCCTCCTAGTGTCAGGGCCAGTGGCTCCTTGTGATGAGACGTAGCCCTTCCCAGCAGGCCTGGCTTATACCTACGCTTCAGGGCTTACAGCTGAGTTTTGCTTCAACTTCTGATTTACATGACTGCACTTCTCAGAGCATCAAGATCTTGACAGTTTTATGGTCACCTGTTGTGCGTGCATCAACCACACTGGCTCCCTCACCACGCCCCATTCAAAACTTGTCTAGAGAGAGTGTACCTGTTCAGTCACAAGGACCCCGGAGCTCCAGGGGCCCAACCAGCCATAATGCAGTTAGCTGTGCTTCCTGGGATATAGGACGTAGAATCTGTTTTCATCCAACTTGGACCCGACACAGAGATTCTGAGCCACCAAACCCTTGATGCCACTGTTGAGCTATTGAGGCCAGCCCGATTTACTCAGTGCGTTTTTCTCCTCCCACTATCCTTAACGTGGAGGTTTGTTTCTGTTCTGATTCCTGGATCATACTTTCCTATAATTTTTCCAAGGTTTAGAAAAACATGATCATCTTTGCCCCAAGGTAACTCCTTAGTGTACTCAATAGCAGCGCTGCTTGTTAGTTCCAGCTTCTCTCCCCACTGTCGCCAGCGTCAGCTCCTCCCTCTTTCCAGTGTCTCCTGTATGTTACTCATAGCCCTGGAGTGGGCCTTGGTCCTCCGCGGCTCAGCAACTGACCCCCTTCCCGTGCGGGGGCTCCCCTCCCACGCCAGCCTGGAGAGGCAGAGCCCCGAGAGGGGGGCACCCATTCCCAAACTGGCCTGTGGCGATGTGCAGGGCAGTAGGAAACCAGACTCTACCAGGAGGTGATTTATAGTCACTCCTGGGGCTGGCTATTGACAAAGCTGGGATGGCAGCAGTTCTTTTGGAGGCCACTTGCCAGCTAGGGCCCAGCTCACTGGCCCAGCTCACCTGCTCACTGGTGAGGGTGTGGGATTTTGGGGCAAAGGAACAGGAGGTGCTGAGGGAGGGCTCTCGGGGACTCTGCAGTCTGCTGGGAGAGGGGACCCTGCCCTTTGAGCCCTCAGGTGTTCCTGACAGTCATGCTTCTCACTGAGATCTAGGAGGTGAGAGAGGGCTGGGGCCACTGAGCCCCTGAGGGAGAAGAGAGCTTGCTGCTCTGGATGGTTCCACGTGGGAGGCTCCCACGCAACTTTGCCTTCAGGGGGAATGTGGGGCCGGACCCTGAAGCCTGGGACCTTTTACCCAGTGCTGCCAAAACTGCTGCCAGAACTCCTCGCCTTCCTGCCCTTGTCCTGTTGGAAGCAGATCTGCTGCAGGAGCTACAGCCAGGTAGTGCCCGCTGTCCAAACGATCCCCTCCCTTCCCTTTGCAGATGCCACCAGACCATCTGGGTTCCCTTCCTCCCCTTTCCTTTCCCTCTGCTCCAGCACCCCTCTCTCTGAGGAGCTGCTAAGTGTGGACTGTCCCACAGCAGCTGTCCCACCTGCTACCACAGGGCAGAGCTGGCTCTGGGGGCAGAAGGATCTTAGGGCCCCCAAGAGCTCTTAGAGCTCAGCCCGGGATGTCCTGCTCCTCCTCCCCACCCCCCTCGCACTCCCTCTCCCAGGGATCTTTTCTGCATGGATCCTTTCACCACCCTGTGTCCACATTCTTTGCTTTGCTTGTCCCCCCGGGCCTCTCTGGGGACACCGACCTGTTTCCGGAAGTCCCTCAGCAGAGGTTTGCTTTAAGGCAGATTTACGAGTTCAGCCTTGGCTGAGGCCTTCTCCCCATGGAGAATGTAGGGAATGGTGTGCTGAGGGACATCAGAGATAAGGAGGCGGTGGCCCTGGATGGCTCAGCCCACCAGGGGAGCAGCCCCACCTTTGTCCTCCTGAGACCTCCATGTGACGTGGACTCAGGGCCCCCCCACTCTGTCCTCACTCTGCCAGGCACTCCCCTCTCCTGAGTCCACTGTCTCTCCAAAACCAGGACCAAGTCACTGTGCCTACTCGGGCAGAGGGCAGAGCTGTCATGGTACAGGGGCGTGGCTGGGGTAGGAGCTTTCCTTGACCATCACCAGCCTATCTAGAGCGGAGGTTCTAAAAATAGGTGGTCTCAGGACCCCTTTACATTCTAAAAAAAAGTGGGCTGGGTGCAGCGGCTCAAGCCTGTAATCCAGCACTTTGGGAGGCAGAGGAGAGAGGATTGCTTGAGGCCAGGAGTTTGAGACCAGCCTGGGCAATATTGAGACCTCATCTCTACAAAAAATACAAAAAAAAAAGAGGACTCCAAAATGATTTTGCTTATGTGGGTTATATCTACTGACAGTTACCACATTAGAAATTAAAATAGAGAATTTTAAAAAATATTTATTCTAAAATTAACCCATCATATATGGACATATGTAACATTTTTACACAAAATAATTATTTTCTGTATTGGGAAATATTTAGTGAGAAGAGTGGTAGTGCTTTACATTTTTGCAAATATCTTTAATGTCTGTCACAATAGACAGTTTTTGCAATATCCCATCTGTTGCAATATCATGGCTTGAGGCTTCTGAAAAATTCCACTACACTCTTGAGAGACTAAGAGTGAAAAACCCAAAGAGCTTCTTATCTTATGAAAATAGCTCTGGGCACTTAGAGCACTGTAAGAGTCTCAGGGACCCCCAAGGGTTCCCAGACCACACTTTGAATACCTGTGATCTGGAGCAGGACTCAGCAGATTTGCCTGTAAGGATCAGATAGTAAATATTTGAGGCTTTTCAGTCTCTGTCTCAGCTGTTTAACTCTGCCAGGGTATCAGGAAGGCAGCCATAAATAATACTTCAATGAATGGCTGTGGCTGTATTCCAATAAACAGGTGGGGGCCTGGGTCTGGCCTACCCCTGATCTAGAACAGAATGAGCTTGCAGGGGCCCTGGGTTTCAGGCTTGTGCTGCAAAAGGGAGGTGCCTGACCCATCCTAGCCAGGCTTCTTCCAGAGGAAGGGAGTTTCTCGGAGAACACTAGATCTTCTATTTCTAATTTCCCTAGTTCCCAGTTTGGTAAAATCCACAGGCTCTGCCGTAATACTTAGATATCCCTGGGCCTGCTCTCTTCTCCCATAGCCCCATCTAAGCCTCCAGCCTGCCGCCCTGCTCACAAAAAGCACACGCGCGCCCAGCTCTGTGCAGGGATGCAGCGGGGAAGCCTTCCTCAGCGTCTCTGCCTCCAGCCCCACCTTGAGTCTTGGCTACCTGGGACTGGGGCAGGGGGTGCAAGAAGCCCATGTGGGCCAGGGCCCCTGTGGAACATCCATCCCTCTGGCTCCCAAGCCAGACCACCCTAGTGCCATTTGTCATCCCCACTCCTGTTTCCTCTTGGAGCTTCTTTCCCACATACCCTTGTTCCTAGGGGATAAAAGCTGATGCAGGTTGTTGAACCTGAGTCTCAGCTGCCTCCAACCGCTCCTGCCTGCCCCTTGCCCTCAGCCCTGGTGGGAGTAAAAGCCTCCCAGTGAGCAGGTGTTTTTCTTCCTCTGCTGCAGAGACAAAGGGGGTTACTCCTGGTTCTGGTTCGTTTGCGGATCTTTCTCTAATAGGATGTGTCTCAAGGGCAGCGTGGGGCTTGCCAGGGAGAAAGGCCCCATCCCTCCTCTGGGGATTCTCATTCCTGGGCCTCCCCTTGCCTCACCCTGCCCCCTGCCAGCTGCTCCTGCGCCCTGGCCTCACTGGGCTGGGTGCTGTCCAGATGGAGGAGATGGCCGCTGGACCCCACGGGACTGTCCCAGGCACTAAGCAGAACAACATTGCGTGGAAAGAGCCCGAGGCAGCCTGAGAAACTTGCAGTGCTGGGACCTGCTCCTGCTCAGCCCTCCACCTGCTTCACCCTTCCTGTGCCTCCTTGTTTCCTCTGCCAGGGCGATGCGGTCACCCCACGGGGTCTGATATTAGTGGCAAAGGCTGGAGTCTGAGCAGGGCAGGCCACAAACTAAAGTCTACTCAGCCACTGAGAGAGCGCCACGCTGTCAGGGGACCCCAGCACATGCCAAAGCCGGTTCCCCTTCATCCCCAGAAGAAGACTGTGTGCCACCCACTGGGGAGTAAATCCGTCTGCTCTGCTTCCTACCACCCTGGAGCGCAACCAGCAAGATCCTGATATTTGGCTTAAAAATAGAACATTCTAGCTGGACTTTTATGGTCTTGTGAAGAACACTGTGCTCATGCCCTCCCACACCTGGTCTCTGCCCCTGCCTGGCCCTGTCCGGCTGCCCAGAGCAGCTCTGCACAGGGTCTCTCAGCAGAGACTGGGTCCCGGGCAGATTTATGAGTTCAGCCTTGGCTGAGGCCGTCTGCTCATGGCTCCCAGCCACAATCCAGCTGTTCTCCCACATCCCATCAGCTCAGGGCTGGGATGTTCTGTGTCTCCTTTTCTACCTCCACCCCAACTCGCCAAGTCACCCCTTCTGTCCTCTTTCCCCTGCAGCCCTGGCCAGCCCTGAACAGGTTCATGGTGAGCCAGACCAGAGCCACTCCTCGCCCACCCAGACCCTATTTACATTCACAATGACAATGATGGCTTATGTCTTAGGATAACCCCGTTGGCACTCTAGTTAGTCTGCCTCACCCATCTCCTCCCAGTCTGAAGTGCTGAAATTTAACAAAAAGGTGGTTCCTTCCCTGCCTGGCCTCAGGTGTCAGGCCTAAAGTTACCCCTGATAGGGAAAGTGACTTCAGTGTGGGTAGACTCCGAGGTTAGTCCTCAAGTTATTTGTATAGGGCCAAAGGTGAATTTCATTGAAGCTCAATCACATTTCTGGCAGGATTTCAGGAAAGCCTGGGAGGGCAGGCCCTCCCTCAGGGGAGGAGCCGGTCCTGGGGAGCTCATGTGTGGAAAGACTGGAGGAATAACTCCAGAGCCAGCAAAGCTTGGGCAAAAATTACATAAGGAACCCACCGAATCCAGGCCTGTCTTGTTTTTCCTTGAGGTTAGGTCTCTAACATAATGGAAAGAGAAGATAGTAATTATCACCCTGTGGAAAAGATACATGTTCTTCTTTTAAGGTCCTTGGCAGATGTAATGAGTCTCAGCATCCTTCCCGGGCGGGGCTTTCGGGCCTGCTTGGTCGAGGTGAGGTAGAGCTGCCTCTGGGGTGAGAGCTCCTCAAACTGGGCAGCTGGGACGATCTACAAGCCTCTCTAGAAACTGGAATGTGAGCAATGTAAGCCTTACTGAGCAATGTAAGCCTTACGGCTTAGCCTGTAGCCATAACTCACGTGAAGGAAGGAGTGGAAGGTGCCAGGCTGAGGGAGAGAGAGAATGTGGGGATGGGGGCAGCTGGAGAGACCCGCAGTTCGGAGCCAAGAATCCTGAATCCCTCCCTGCCTCTTTGACATTGGGTGAGTATCTCGTGACGCAGTAAAAAAACAAAACAAAGCCACATTCCCTTCTTCAGTTTCCCCCCTGGCTATGTGACCCCAGCTCAGATCTGTTCACACTTCGAGACACCAAGAGCCTCTCAGGCCCCTGGCTTTCCCATCAGCACCTGGGGCTGCTGTCCAGGCCCCTCCCTCTGCACCTGTCTTCTTGCTACCTGCAAGGCTTCCTAGAGGCCTTAGGGGAGAGAAGCTGGGGATGGTGCCCTAACTCAACTTCGAACCTGATTAACCCCTTCCACTCCCACTTTGGGGCAGCTGCCATAGAAAAACCACTGTGGAGTCCCGTCCGGGGGCCGAGGAGGAGGACCTCCATCCTGTGCTCCTCTGGTCTCTCCACAACAGAAGTGGCCACTGCTTCGGTTGATCTGCGTGCTGGACCATGGGAGCTGAGCCTGAGCCAAACCTGGTGGCTGAGAGTCAGACCGGAGACAGGGAGGGCTGGGGGAAGTCCAGGTCCCTAAGCGTGAGCTACAGTCTAGGAGAAAAGGGTGAGTGTGATGATTATTTGTCACCAAGAGCTGGTGAGAGTGGCTTGGTGGGAAGGAGAGCATCTGCCTCTCCAGAGACTTGGGACCCCACCTCTGCATCTCTTGTTCTTTGGCCGGAGGCGGTGGCTGTGGTGGAGTCAAGGCCAGACCCCACCAGGCCTCCAGCATAAAGACGAGATCGCATCGGCCACTTCTGCAAGACACAGGATGGGAAGTGAGCAATGCTACTGTCACAGCCCTTCATAGTCCAGAATCCTTGACACCCACAGCTTGGCTGTCCCTAGGATCCCTCCCTGACGCCCGCCCCAGCCACAGCTGCTCTGACAGCAGGGGTCTCTGGCTCACCACCATGTATGGCCCCACCCTGAGCCTGGCTAAGAGACACAGGAGGAGCCATCTGAAGAGAGGGAGGTGCAGCAGTGCTCAGTGGGAGAGGAGAGGGAGGTGGACAGGAGGTCAGGTGGCCTGGGCAGAGGTGGCAACAGCCAGGGGCCAGGCAACAGGCAGAGCAGCGAAGCCAGGAAAAACTCCCTCTAAGCAGGTCCTCCAAGGATTGTCCAACCTTCCAGCAGGAGCATGGGCAGTAGCAGAAAACGCAAGGTGACTCTACCCTGAGGTCTGCCCTCCTCTCTGACAGCCACTCCAGCTGGGGGCCTAGGGCACTGCTCCCTGGCTAACTATCCCCCCCTCAAATCTGCTGGAGTTTTAGACCTAACTGGACCCTCATTCATTCATTTCTCAGCATATTTATAGATCACCTACCGCATGCAGCTTTATTGCCATTTTATAGCTAAGGAAACCACTATGCCACCCCAGGACCCTACACCGGGTGTCACCATTGACATTTCACAATTGTCCAATTTAGTCTCAAATTCTTGCATTTAGGTGTATTTGCATGAAAGAAGAAAATCTCAAGTTTCAAGACTTTCTTTCTTTAAGACATTTCTAACTGTGACATTTAGGAGAAAGAGATGGTGAAAAGTATCCTCCATAAAAATAAAGTTGAGCCCATTACAATGTTACTGTCAGAGGGCAAAAGTGGGCCTTCCTTTATGACACAGCACACTCTTCCACCAGCTCCTTACAGAGCCATCCTGCAGTCTGCTCAGTGGCTGTGACCATGGGGACTAAAGTCAGACACTCTGGGTTCAAAGCACACTTAGCCTCCCTGAGCTTTGGTTTCCTCATCTGTAAAGTAACCTTCATTTAGTTCTGGCACAAATTAAAATATAAAAATGCACTAAGGCACTTAACTCAAGCTCCTGGCATATCTTCAGCACTCTAATAATGTTAGCTGTTATTGTAGTGGTGATTAATGTTAATTATACTTTCCTTTCATCATCTCATTTTGTACTCTGTAGAAGTAAAACTCTTGTTGGCTTCTATTTTATGTATAATAAAACTGAGGTTCAGGAAAGTTGGGTTGCAGTCTGGCAGTGGTGCATGCAGGGACCTCCCAACCCAGTCCCCATATTGCTACTCCTCTGCCCCCGAGTCCCCGGCTTGGTTGCCTCTGGAGTGATGCTCTCTTCTATCCTGCAACAGAAGCCCAGAGACCACCGAGGCAGGCACTGTACAATGGGGTAAAGCCCATCTAGGATCTAAGGACACTCCTAGGTGCAGTTCCTTTCCCAGGCCCTAGCCCTGGAACATGCTCCTTTTTTCCCCTGACACTAAGAACCTCAGAATCCATAAAGCCATTTCCAGCCACCAGCCCATGAGAACCAGGGTCAGCCCAGCCCCAAGAACCTTCTTCCCTCTGAAAGCAGAAGAAGCAGGCCCTGGTGTCAGCTCTGTTCAGGACAGGGGAGCCAAGTCCAGTTTTCCCCTGTCCCAACCAACCCCCTTCCCCAAGACCCTGGGCATTAAGATCCCCACCCCCAGGTCCGGGGGCTGTGGCCTACCTTGAGAGGGTGCAAATAGCGGAGTCCACGCAGGAAGGGTGGCCAGGCAGGGCCCGGCAATTCGTGGCCGAGCGTGCGGGTGAGGTGGGCTATGTAGCTGGCAGCCAGCACCAGCACGTCCAACTTGGAGAGCTTGGTGTCGGGCGGCACGGCAGGCAGAGCGGCCTGCAGGGCCAGGAAGGCCTGGCGCAGTGTCCTCACCCGGCTCCGCTCCCGTGCGGCGTTCTCAGGACTGGACTCGCTCTGCACAGAGAGCCCCGGTGAGTGGATCTGGCCAGGACCCCCACCTGCCTCTGACTTCTACGAACATTCTAGTGCAAGGCCTCCTGCCAGAGTATAGGTTGTGAAAAACAGACACCAAAGGGCCTCAGCCCACCTTTGTCGTTCTCACCCTGCCCCTTTTACAGCTGGGGAAGTTGAGGGAACGCCTGCCCTGGGGTCAGATGGCAGAACTGAGCTGCCTTCTCTCTGCTACTCCACTAAGGCCTCCTCAAAGTTCTTGCTCCACCCCACACCCCAGTCCCAGTCCTGCTTATCACAGTGCCCTGGGGCCACGGGAGAGCTCAGAGCCACAGGCTGTTTGGCAGGGCCCACCCCTGACCTAGCCAGGTCCCAAGATGAAGAGGCTGCTGTGGTAAAGAGGAAAGGACACAGAACCAGGGTCAAAACGCACAGGCCGAAGTCCCGGCCCTGCCTCTGACTGCTGCTCAGAGACCTGGGAAACTCGCCTCCCTCCTCTGGGCCTCCATTTCCTCCAGAGGAGTGAGTTGGGCCCACCCTCTGAGCTGCGCTCTGGCTAAGCCCAGCTCTGGTTTATCCCATGCACCCCAAGCATGGCGCCTTAGGACTAAGGGGCCAGTGTCCCTTCTCTAGCGCAGGCATGGTAGGACTGAGTGGGGCAGGGACATCTCACTGCCCTCCGACCCTGCCTCCCCAGCTCCCTCTGCAGCTCCAGGATTTCCTTACCCTGCCAAGAGCCAGGCCCCTAGCCCTGGCCCCCCGTGGGCTGGGGGCAGCTCGGCTCCATCTTTGGTTGCTCCAGCTTGTCTCTCCCCACAGGTCCTGCCTTGTCCTGCCGAGATGGCTCCTCTTCCTGTCGGTGCCTGGCAACAGCCGTGCTTTGGCCTTAGCCCGGCTATGCCCCACTGCTGGCATTGCTGGTGCCCCTTTGGCCTCCCTCTGTGACATGCCACCCCCTGGGTACAGAGCTGCAGCCCACAGGAATACAGTGCCTGAGGGGGCCCTGGGCTCCAGCTAACTGGGCAGGCTGGTCATCAAGCCGGCAATATCTAAATCCGAGGAAGCTGGCGCCAACTCAGTCCTGCTTCGCTCCTTGCTCTGGGAAAACCGCCCACCAGGCACAGCCCCCGCAAAAAGCCTCCACCCGCCTCCCAACCCAGCAGAGGGGTGGGGGTGCTGGATGCTGGGAGTGTCCAAGGCCCGGGAGGAGGCCCATGCTGAAGAGGCAGAAGGACTGGGGGAAGGGAGCACCTCCTGGGTCACACCTAACCCGGACAGTAGTCCCATGGTGGACCTGAGACTTTAGCTTAGGGAGTCAAGTCCATGGAGAGGTCCTGAACCTCCTTCCTCTGTGCCAGAAGCTGCCTGCATAGGTCCCTGAAAGGCCTTTCCTCTCCTTGCCAGTGAGGGTGACCTTGCAACCACATGGTGCTATTCCCACTTTCACCCCCCAAACAGGTCTCCCATTTCCAACGCACTGCTTTCACATTCACCCTTCCATGGCCTGGAATACCCTCCTCCAGCTCTGCCAGGGAGTGCTGCTCACCCCTCAGGGCTATATGCTTCACCTGCAAGGACTTCAAACCCCGCAGAGCCCAGAGCATGGTGCGTCCCTGTTTGACTGGTACGACCACAGCCTGGCCAGTTTCCTAACTGCTCAACTTTCATAGATCACCATGTGCCAGACACTGTGCTAAGTATTTTATATGTATTATCTTATTTATTTCTCAGAACAACATTATAAGAAAAAAAGAGACTTACTTTAGATGTGGGGAAACTGAGATAGCAAGAGGTGAGATAACTTTCCCAGTGTCAAACATCTAGTAAGTGGTGGGGTGGGATGGAAACCCAGGCTGTCAGCTGAACTTGGAAGGCTTCGCCTCACCCTATGCTATCCTGCCACCCATGGGTTACTCATGAGTCTGTCCTCATGCTAGATGTGAGGTCTTTGAAGGCAAGGACCATGACATCTGCTGAGTTGCATCACATCCTCCAATAGCTACTTCGAAGGTAGGCTGATGGGATAGCAAATCTGCCAGAGTAGCCCCTGCTGTCCTCAAGTTACAACCTCTGCCTGCAGCAGAATCCAGCTTGCATGTCGCTTGTCCCCCCAAGCTTGGACTCCAGGGAGACACTATAAGTAAAGAGAAATACAAAGGCAGATGTACAGTGAGACATGCCAGCCAGAGAGAAAGGAAAAAAGAAAGATAAGTAAAAACAACCTGTATGTCCATCAGTAGGGAAGTAAATACATTTTGGTATAGCTATACTATAGAATAATGTGCAGTGATAAAAAGAAAAAGACAGATTTCTGTTTAGAACATGAAAAAATGCTCCAAGGTACACAGTTAAGTGAAAAAACCTAGTTGTAGATCAATATGTATATTAAGATCCTAGCCATGTAAAAAACACCGAAAAATAAAAGATGTATGCGTAAATGTATGTGTTTATGTGCTTACGTAAATGCGTACAAAGGAGATGGAAAAGATGCACAATAAATGGTTTTGTCTTTTACTCAGACACAGAGAATGAAACACACACCTTAATTAACAGCATATTGTCATCTTTGGTGTACACAGGACCCCTCATTAGCCTGACCGCCCCCTTCCTTCCTTCTTCTTTTATCCCATTCCCATTATTCTCCCCTGTGATAGGCAACCATTCTGATAGTATGCGTCGTGGTTTTAAAATATGTACACAAATTCTTCGACACTCCTCTATTCAAAAGCGGAGGCTAATCTCTCTCCCTTTGAGTGTGGTCCAGATTTAGGGACTTGTTTCTAGCACATAGAATGTGGCAGAAATGTCAGTGTGTAACATCTGAACCCGGTTTATAAAGGACACTGCAGCTTCCTCCTTGCTCTCTCTTGGATCACCCACTCTGGGGGAGGCCAACTGCTACCATGAAGACACCTGAGCACCCTGTGGGGAAACCCGCCTGGGACTGAGGCCTCTCACTGACAGCCAGAGATGACTTGCCAATCATGGGAGTTCGCCACCTGGGACACAGGTCCGCCAGCTCCGGTTGAGCCTTTAGATGACTGCAGCCCTGGCTGACACTTTGAGCACAACCTATGAGAGACCCTGAGCCAGGATCCCCCAACTAAGCTGCTCTCACACATAGAATTCCTGACCCACAGAAGCCATGTGAGATAATAAATGTTTATTGTTGTTTAAGTTTAGGGGAGACATGAGGTGGCCCATGGAATGAGTGGCAAGTTCAGTAGGCTTAGGCTTTCAGTTCAGTATTCTCTTTCTCAGAAAGTTAAGGCAGGCCTTTCCTAGAAGCTTCCATTTAGAGCTCATTTGAAATTTAATCAGGTCAGTGTCAAGGCCAGACTTATTAGGGAACCCATGAAAGCCCTTACCTGATGGTTAATGGGTATGGCCTCTTTCCCTCTGCAGGAACTCACCTATCAGGGAAGGAGGGGGCTCAGGCTTCAACTTTTCCTTTTTTTCTTTTTGAGACAGGGTCTTGCTCTGTTGCCTGGGCATCATTATAGCTCACAGCAACCTCAAACTCCTGGGCTCAAGTGATCCTCCTGTCCCAGCCTCCCGAGTAGCTGGGACTACAGGTATAAGCCCCCACATCTGGCTCATTTTTTCTAATTTTTGTAGAGATGGGATCTTGCTATGTTGCTCAGGCTCGTGTCAAACTCCTGGCCTCAAGCAATTCTCTTGCTTTGGCCTCCCAAAGTGCTAGGATTACCGGTATGATCCACAATGCCTAGCCTCAGGCTTCAACTTTTTGCAGCCTAGTAGGAACCACTGCCTTGGTAGGGCACAGAGTAGGAAGGAAGAAAGTATTAAAGCCACACCTGCAGCTACATGGAAAGAGATCTTATGCCACATGCACTCCCAGAGTGAGAAGGCACAAACACTCTCAGGAAGCTCCTCTATCATGAGGGCTCTGGCCTTGGAAGGACTACAAAGTCATGGTCAGGTGAGCCTGAGACTTCTCACCCTTTCATATCGGGTTGTGTTCATGGCAGAGACGCCAGAGTAGGAAGGAAAACTTATACAGTGAAAAACAGTGTACATAAAGCCCCAAGTGAACCAAGATGGGAAGGACTGATGTACAGGGGTGTGCTTCCTGTTCCAAGAGGAGAGGTGTGGAGGGCATTTCCAATGTACCAATATATTGTACAAGTTCCCTACAGGCAGCAGAGAAGGCAGGCTGGGACTCAGCGAGCTTATCTTGAAGGCTGCTGGGGCTCTGCGTGCTGAGAATCCTCTTTAGGACATAGCTCAGGTGCTTGCTGTGCCTGGCTATTTCTGCTGGCATAGTACCACCTGGATGCATGTGTGTGGGCAGCTCTGTGAAGTGCTCTTTGAGAAAGTTCTCTCTGTAAGAACTTGCCTTGAGCTTCATCCCCACCATCTGGGCCATGGACACAGCAGAGTAGGTTCCGCCACGGTGGTCCTGAGTGGGCTTCATAGAGAACACAGGCAGCAGATCAGTGAAAGCACAGCTTCCTTATCACACATCCTCTTCTGAAGTTGGTCAGGGTTATCTACTTCATGAGAGCATGACATAGGTAGGATCCCAGGAACTGGTCCAGCTCCTGGAAGTTCAGCCTCAAGGCTTCCACTGTGGCCTCTAGAACTCGTGGTGGGTTCTCCTTTTCTGGTTTCCTTTAAAGCATGACACCATCAGCCCCACTATTGCAGGATAAGGAACGAGTCTATACAGATCCCATCTGGGTGGCAGCGGTTGTCCACAGAGGAGTGAAAACGAAGTGATGCCAAATAGGATTATTGCAGCGCTATTCACAATAGCCAAGATTTGGAGTCAACCTAAGTGTCCATCAGTGGATAAAGAAATTGTAGTACATATATGCAATGGAATATTATACAGCCACAAAAAGAATGAAATCCTGCTATTTGCAACAACGTGGATGGAACTGGAGAATATTATGTTAAGTGAAATAAGCCAAGCACAGAAAGACAAATCTCACATGTTCTCACTCATATGTGGAAGCTAAATATTAAAAACAATTTAAAGATCAATCCTATGAAAAAAAATAAAATAAAAATAAAAACAATTGATCTGGGCCAGGCGTGGTGGCTCACGCCTGTAATCTCAGCACTCTGGGAGGCCAAGGAAGGAGGGTCACTTTAGCTCAGGAATTCCAGACCAGTCTCAGCAAGAGTGAGATCCTGTCTCTGCTAAAAATAGAAAGAAAGTAGCTGGGCAACTAAAAAAAATCAGCCAGGTGTGGTGGTGCATACTTGTAGTCCCAGCTACTGGGGAGGGTGGAGAAGGAGGATCACTTGAGCCCAGGAGTTTGAGGTTGCAGTGAGCTATAATGATGCCACTGCACTCTAGCCTTCTCAAAAAAAAAAAAAATTAATCAAATAAGGTCAAGATTTGTGCACTGAAAACCTGAAGAAATGGAAAGACACCAGAGGTGTTGCTAGGGTCTTCCAGGCTGGGGGTGGGGTGAGGAGGGTTGGGAGTCTGGTCATTGGAGGTGCAGGCTCCCGGGTCTAGGAGGCAGGGGCTGTGCGGCATCTGGCTGGGTGGCCTGAGGTGGGTCTCAGCGTGCAGAGGTAGGGGTTCGGCCAGGCTGTTAAAATGTCACAGATGGCAGGTGCCAGCTGACAGTTGCACAGTGAGTTCTCAGGAAAGGAGGTGGAGGAGGGAGAGACCTGGGAAAAGTCCAGAGTAACCAGTTATGGGAAGGGTGGGGATGGTCTCTGCAATGTGGAAAAGAAACCAGCAAATCAAAAACAAATTACCAGGCCGGGCGCTGTGGCTCACGCCTGTAATCCTAGCTCTTGGGAGGCCGAGGCGGGCGGATTGCTCAAGGTCAGGAGTTCAAAACCAACCCTGAGCAAGATTGAGACCCCGTCTCTCTACTATAAATAGAAATAAATTAATTGGCCAACTGATATATATATATATAAAAAAAAATTAGCCGGGCATGGTGGCGCATGCCTGTAGTCCCAGCTACTCGGGAGGCTGAGGCAGGAGGATCGCTTGAGCCCAGGAGTTTGAGGTTGCTGTGAGCTAGGCTGACACCA